ATAAAATCGTCTAGACCCGACGCGTATTCATAGATATTGTGTAACGTTATTTTTTGCTTACGAAACGTGTCATTTCCACACATTACATTTAAGTGAATACATTTATCCCATTCACGGATCACGTCCTAAGCCGATTATTGGTAATCGCTACTTTTCATGCTCTTCTAAACATTTCGGACGATAACGACCCCAACAAGTACATATTACGATAGACATAGGGCCTATTTTCGTGTGACAAATGTTATTTGGCTGCGTAACACAAATTCTAGTACAAATAATGAGATTTGATACAAATTCGGAAAGATTGACGTGGATACGTGAATAGGCGTGTAATATTCGACAAATTCAATTATAGATGGCTTTTGGCGATTCCAGCCAACTGTCATTGGAACACCATTTTGCAAAATGTTTGCGACATAGTTATAAGGCAAATATGTTATTCATATAACTTGATATAATATAATTTGTTCATATCTGTCCAAACAACATCTTCATTAATTGTTTTATTTAGTATTTTTAATAATATAAGATATAACTTGGTGTCTGTACTTAGTTTACGCGAGTAGTACATATTTAAATAAAAAACTCTAACGGTTTATAACTCGAAATATATTAGTTAAGTAAAAAAAAGCAAAGCATCTGTAACATTGGTCCGTAGTTAAAATCATTTTCAGAGAAGTTTAACTAGCATATATCGCGTTTTAAACCGTTAAAGTGTTTTATTTACCGTTTGTGCCCAATGTTTAGTTATACGCAGGCTTAGGAATCAGACATAACCCATGAGAGAACCGGAGGGAAAATACAAAGTTGAAAAATTGATCAAACATTTCGTGCACAATTTTTAAGTTGAAAATTAAAAGACAGGATAAGTTTGTTTTCAATCTGGCTTTTAAACTTATATCACAGAGAAAAGATTATTAAATAAAACACTTTACAGGTTTAAAACTCGAAATATATTGATTAAACTTTTTTTTTAAATTGTTTTTACTAAGGCCGACGTTTCGAATGCTTTGCAGCTACGTGCAGTAGTATTTATACCGTTACAGTGTTTTATTTTAATGTGTAAGTACTACTCTCGTAGACTACAGACAGTATTATTATTATTTTTTTTTTCAATGAACTAATTAAAAGTATCAATTATAACACCCCATTTGTTAGCTCAAACTGTTTGGCGCTAACCAATAAAACGACATAGAAAATTATTTCCAAACGAGCAACCATTTATCGGGAACAGCTTTAAATTTGCAGATGTCGGTTAAATAGGCCGTGTCATTACATTATTAGCAACAATTTGTCACCGACCGTCATCGAACCGGCGACCCGGCAGATGTTTGCCTTCATTCACGACTTGAATGTATTGCTTTCTTTCGTTCCTTTGAATTTTAAGTACATTTGCGATGATAATACTTAAACGGTGCTATATAAATATTTATCCCTTTGTAGTAATTGTAGTAAGAATTTCGCTGGGATTTGTTGATTTTCTGAAAAAGCTTAAAAAATAATATTCAATAGTGCTTAGCATTTGTCATATACAGTTTATGACTAAGCTAAGCTCAAATGTCTCAGTTGTAATATTTTCATTGTTAAGTGCGAGAGATCTTGGATTCCATTATTGGGAAAAAATGGAATAGCTTTCGGTAGGGCAGTGTACATCCATCCACAAAGTCAATTACTAGTAGGTAGCACCACACAAACACTAAGTGACTGTATTTTAGAGACATACACACAATTATATAAAATTACAGTGGCAATGTATAAAAATCAATAGGTCGTGCGTACTATACCCACCGGTTCGAATATCGAAAATTCCGGCCGGGCCACGAACCACCGTCCACAGGTGGAAAAACTGTGAAGCTTAATCGCGATTCGGTTTCAGTCTGCGGATTTCCGAATATCCAAAGCCAATGGGTCGTCAGCGCATCTTGTTTGGATGATATATACAATTACAATGAACTGTTTATCTTAAAAAAAAAACATTTTCTCTTTTACGTACCTAAATAAAATAATCTACACCAGATATTCTTTCGTTCAAAGAAACGAGTTGCCATTTCTCTAATGAAGATAGGAAGGCTTTATTTATCGTGTGTAATTTACAACCCCTTGGGGTCAAGTCGGTCCAACGGAGACCCTTAGCGGGCGATTAGTGCGGGATGCGGTCACAAGAACGTTCACTTTAGAATAACAACTATTTCCTAGATGTGTTTATGTTCAAATTACTTAATTAAAAGTTGTTGTACATTATCGTTTTAGTATGAGTGCCTACATTTTAAATAAAAGGACACTGTTCTATTGATATGTATTGCGTGAACTTTGTTATATTTCTGTGAAATAATTAATTTTAATATTTTTTTGTCTCACTAATGTCATGCGACTGTCGATTAATTTATAATATGTTTTAAAACGAAACTATCTGTCTATTTAATATTCTAGTTTCTCTAAACAACTTTAAAACATTATCGCTTTTAACAATTAAAAAACAAAAGATCGTGTATAAAAACTATGTGGCGCCATCTTTAGATTGCTACATTAACTATGTTCAATAGAGATTGTATGAATGTTGTGAACCGAGGTACGCATTTTTGAACAATTTGAGAAAAAGGAATTCTGATAGTTTTATCATTAACCGCTAGATGGCGTTTATTTCAATAAAACAATAACGAACTTTGGGTTCCCTTTATTGAGCCATGGTCAAAATATTATGTGATTTAACTGTAGTTCACTGTACTTAATTATAAAATGATTTTGCAAAGCGGAGCAAAAATATAGATAGTCTTTATTATATTGATTCCCAGAACTTGAAATAAGAGTTTTTTAAAGTATAATTACTCTACCTTATAACATTTCCTAGTATTTATATTTGCGTATAAAATTGAGGTGTTTCCTGTATATAGAAGTATCGAAACTCCTTCTTTATAGAAAAAAAACATTACACGTGTTTCTTGCTTGTTATTCCGACATTAGAATAAAGTTGGTAAAATTAAATAGATTTTTATAATTAAAAAATATCAACTGAAAAATCTGAACAAAATTTAATAGAATGGCTTTGGGTAGAAAGGCAAATAAAAATAGTTGTAAGAAAACTATTTAATTTCTCATCCCGACTATCTACACACTAAAACTAAATTAATAGATCCAAACAAACCTCTAATAAATAAAATATACAATTTTTGTTCTCTGTTAGAAAGCCTGCAGCTTATAGATACAATTCTTCTGTGTATTGACAATACTGACCATAATTTATCTATGGTTTTCATGAGGAGATTAGATGTCTCTAACATTTTGTGCTATGTATAACATGGATTGGATACACTTACGGAAGAGGCTAATACTATTTTATTAGTATATTTTACAATTATAAAGACTAGACAGTTTTAAGATTCAGTTGCATTTTCAGCCAGCGTACAAAATTTCAGATTCTTTGCACTTTATAAATCTAACATAAACGAAAATAATATATTTGTTACAGTTGCACATCTGAATATATTAAATATATCTTTAAAGAACATAAGATTATAGCATGACTCTCTTATACACATAGGTTTAAATATATACAGAGTATCGGCCAGTTATTAGGACTATAACAAAGTTAATATTATTTTATAGAAAGACGGATATTATCAACGAAAACTTAATTAGCCAAGTTCCTTCATAAGTGGATTAAAGAAAGAAGAAAAAGACTAACAATATCAGTCACTTAAATTAGTTTTGAATTTGTAAAACTCGACAAAAACACAGTTAAAGCAGTAAAAAAAGAAATTATACTATATCAGAGCTAAATAAATTCTTATCTATTTGGCTCAAAGTTTACACGAATTTTAGTACCCTTTCTCCGAATTATACTAAATCTTATCAAAATAGTTTTAAATCGTTGAAATTTTTTCTATGAAATTAAAAAGGTTACACTAGGCAAAATAGTATAATAAATTATTACTTTAATTTTAAAAGCTGCTACATAAGACATCAAGCTGTACTTTTAATTGATTTCTATTTATAAGTCATCCCTTGAAATTTTAAATTTCTTCGTCTTTCTAACAACACACTTTTGAATAAAAAAATATTTTAATCATGCGACGTGTTTTTTAATATTTTAACAATGACTTTCCACAGAATGCAAGTCACAATACCAGATTGTCTCTCTATCAGCTCCCACATTTGTCTAGGACCTCAAGAAATATGACCGATCTAACCCGAATACAGTACATAACTTGACATCGAATTATAGGTATATAGTTCTTATTGTACTTCGAGCTTCAATTAATAACGCTTTGAGTTAACACAAACAAAAATATCTATTGTACTTTTTCACACAAATCCTTATAATCTTGTGACCTCTGATAGTTATAAGGAATTAAATATTATTTACACTAACTAAATCTTAAAAAATAATAATACGTTTGTTCTTCCAATGGAAGAGGGTTGCAAATAATTTAAAAAACGAAACAGCTTTGAAACAACCAAAAAATTTAAACCTTAAGAAGTAATTTCACGGTGACTATTAATTTTCTATCTAATCGTATACAATTTTGGAAGGCAGTATTAGTCTTTGAAGGTTATAAGAGCCCTTTGTCAACCTAGATGACTAATATAGGTCACTATAAAAACGACCAAGCTATAAATAGGCTTTGATAGATGGGCTTTTGTCGTAAAAAAAAACAAAACTGCTAATAGAATGAAAATTCGCAGTTGTGCACATTGGTACTTGGTAAAGATGGTGCTTTAACACCTGACGAAGACTATCACTTTCACATTCCACATCATATTTAGCTAATACTGGCTAATATATATAAAAATTGATAAAATTAAATACGGCAGGTCTTGAACATTGGTGAGAGCAACAGCAAAGAAGTGGATGCTGCTTCAAGTCCTGCCCTATTTTTTTTATGTATACACGAATTTAATACATAATTCAAGAAAAAGAATCAATTTTGAAATCCTGAAATTTTGTTGCTTTTCTTTCAAAGCCTAGCTTGAACCATCAGAGATCACAAAAGCAATCCACCTTACAGCTCAACACTCCCGCATTCTCTATTCGACTCTACTTTGTCTTCCTCCGGATTGTAGCTTTTCACCGATACAGCTTCAGATAGATCTGTACTTGACAGCTTATTCGTAATCTTAGTTATAGAAATTCTACTCTCTATGTCGTTTGAGTCACAAATCGTCTCTAATAGCACGCCTTTTTCCACCCTCCTGGGTTTAGGCAAAACATTTTGTATGGGTTTAGTTTTGAGTTTTTCGCTGAGTATTTTATTGCACGACTTCTTAGACATGTCTAACGCCAGAGGGTCTTCCTTCTCATCTTTCTTCTCCTCAGGTCTGCTCTGCTTCATCTCCGCTACTTCGGCATTCGATACGTTATCCTTCTTTTTCCATTTCGTTCTTCGATTTTGGAACCAGATTTTCACCTGGAATTAGAAAGACGGTTTGATTAATAGGTGTGTTTATTTCAAATTTTATGTACAAAACTTCAACATACGTTTCTTATAGAGCTGGGATTGGTCGTTTACTTAGAAAACACAAATTTTTGAATCCGTTCCTCCTAAGCAATACAATTAACCGTAGAGTTATTACAAAGGCGTTTGAAAACATATAAGTCTACTAGCTGAGTCAGGGACTTCGTACGCGTAGAATGAATATTTGAGGTATCAATTTTTGTTTTTGCAAACCTCCTGTTCGACTCTATAAATTTAAGCTGTTAGCCACAACGTTGATCGCGTACCAACCCCTCGTTCTTGCACTTTGTCCCGGACTTTTCTTAGATCGTTTAAAGAGAAATCATTATTTCGTAAATATTTTTTGGGTATCATGAAGCGTTTTTACAGCGTACTCAATGGAAACCCACAAGGAAATGAGTTTTCCCGTTTTTTCAACAGTTCCCGCTGTTTCTTCACTCGTATTAGTCACTCAATAAATGCTCTAACCAACACAAAAATATTTTTTCAATTCGAATCAGTAGTTCCTGAGATTAGCGCGTTCAAACGAACAAACAAACTCTTCAGCTTTATATATATATATATATATATAGATTACTTATATTACTTAAGTTACATATTATTCTAATTAGTTATGAGTATATCTAATGAGTAGCTAGCTAATGATAGAAGTAATATTGTTGTTGGTGTCAGTTAACGAACAGTTAATTACGCTGATCGATCTCTCAGGACGTTAGGGATGTGCGATGGATGTCGATAGATTTTTTTGTTTTTACTTTTAATACAAAGAATGACGATAATGTCTAGTAAAGGTTAAAATATAATATCTATAAGATAAATAAACGTATGGTTTAATTTAAACAATTTGAAAAGCCTAATTGTAGCTCTACGCGACACTGGACTGGTGTTTTTTAAATATTTATGAAACGACCAAAATTTGCTAGATACTAAATTTAGATTCTGCGTAGCAATTGATTCGATATCATTGTTTTTAAGTCACATAATAAAAATAATAGATAAAATAATTATAATTAATATTAAAAGAATACCTCATTGTTAACTTTAAAAAAGGCATCTCGTTTTACCTAATTACACGAGCCAAAACATAACCATACGTGTATTCTAACATAATTACACACAAATAAACGACGTGTACAGTATTCATATTGTTTGTAAAGGTTCAAAACAATGAAACGTGGAGAAGCATCTCACAGTTTAATTTAAACGTTACTCGCTTGCCCCTTAAAAAGCTGTCATTAATTTTCACTCTATGCGGACGGGAATTAAAATATAAAACTATCCTGTAACGTATTCAAGTTACAAAAATAATAAAACCATGTAATGGGCCTACAGAAATACTTGATGTTAGCACACCATAATTTTATCGCTCATAACTTGAATGGCTTTTGAACCCGTATTATATGAGTGGGATTAAAAAACTCAGTAAATACATTTAAAAATTATTCGGTGGCCTTACTATTAAAGATATCATCTAAATTAAGCGTTTGAAATGTCGTTTTTATTGCTGCATAGATCGATAATATAAAATTGTGAACTAATGTGAACTAAATAAAATGTGTACTTCTTGCATAAACTAAATACAGTATTTAAAATAAAATTTGTTGATATGACGTTTACAACTATTTACATTTCCGTTTTTTTTCCGAATATGCAAAGACGAATCGAAATAGGGCGACAGCGCATCGTGCTTAGATGTTATATGTCTGTGACTATTACACCTTTAAATAAAACACTTTAACGGTTTAAAACGCGATATATTAGTTAAACTTATTTGAAAATGATTTTTAACTTCGGCCCGACGTTTCGGATGCTTTGCAGCAGCGCAGCGTGACCACGGCGCTCAAATATATATAAGTATAACTAATATATCGCGTTTTAAACCGTTAAACTATAAACTATAGACAGTATTTAAGTGTCATAATACCAAGTATTGTCGTAAAACGTGAACCCGCTGCAGGGGCGTCCGAACTGCCACAAAACCAAACAGCTATAAAGTAGAGTTATAAAATTAAGTTGCCCACACGCATTGCAATAATTGATACTTGTTTTCAATACCATTGTTGTCTTTATATGGATACGCGAACTAATAGATAAATAAACATTCTTACTTTCATGTCACACAATATGGAAGTAAGAACTGAGAATTTAGTTAAATTGTGCAATCGGCGCATTGAGTTTAAAAGTATTTAAGCTATCCTGCGATTGACAAACGTACAAAATCGTCTAGACTTTGACTGGTTTGTTGATCTAATAATTATTCGTTTATTATTAGCTTAGCTTAAAAACCTATTTACAAATTGAGTATTTCAATGGCGCCTGAATTAGCTGTAAAGCTGTGACACAGGAGCCAGCGCCCACCTCCGTATGATAAGATAAGTTAAACTAATTACTATTGACATTCTTCTAAATTACTATTTGGTACAATTAAAGGAAGGTAGTGTAAAACAATCTAATGGTAGCAGTATATGGTAATAATCAACGTCGTAATCAAACGTGGGTCGTGTCAATGATTATAATCATTTTTTTTTTAATTTTTCTGAAACATTTTGAAAATCTATTAAAAAGGTGGTAGGAAATAGGAATATCGAAATTCCGTCCCGGTCGAGAACCACCGTCCATTGATGAAAGCCGTGAAATTTAATCGCGTTTCGGTTCCAAACTATGGATTTCCGAATATCCAAAGCCAAAATAGGTAGACAGTGCATCTTGCCTAGATGTTATACAGCTGGGGCCTTCCATAAAATGCGTATCTGTCTTCCGCCATGATAAAAAAGACAGTCAGGGATAGACCATTACAATAATAGAGAGCTAAGTCTTCCGTCGTATCGAAGCGTCGCTACTTTTGGCCGCCAGAAGCTGTCAGCCAGTCGAAGAGACGTATACACCCGCCGCTTAGGCGTCAGTTATGTACCATAATCCACCTGTCATCTGTAACCAGCACATACATCACCGGTAGTGCGCGTCACGCCACACTCCGCGTAATTGCCTCGCAAATTAATCCAACAAACATGTGACATTTGACTCGATCTGTATAGCTACGGTGCCCAACTGTTTTGTTTAATTAAACTGATGCGAAGATCTCGCTTGTGATTTACGGTTTATTCGATTTGATGGATGTCTTGCGTTTGTGCTATTGTCAACAGCACGAGTTTATTTAAAAGCAAACGTTATTATTTAACGTTTGCAAAATTATCTATTAAATTGATTTGTTTGGCAAAGACGTAAAAATAATACTTACGACTTTTACATTAAATCCTAATAAATTTTAACAATAAAACTAAGCCATAAAACCACAGTCAAACATTACATTAAATCAAGGATGAGTTTTATTTCTTCGTTTATGTTATTAAGTTTATCAATGAGTATATCTTTTAAAATAAAACACTCTTTAGCGGTTTAAAACGCAGACTGTCTTTCTACGGGCTTGTGTATCGCGTTTACGGTGGGAAAAAATGTTTACCTCAACTACAATTACATCGTAGTTTTTAAAACGAAAATGACTGAATTCCCATTGTATCTGCTTTTACCTAATATCCCATTCGATCAGATCGTTTGGTCACTCGCATACCTTCACATTACACAATACAATCCACTTGCAAACACGAGGATAATTATTATTGATTGCGCATTAGTGACTGAGATGGAAGATAAGCCAGCGCGTGCGAACGAGACAAAGATACATTGTGAGGTTATGTGTAACATGTCAAAGCTGCGCTAATTGTGTCCTAGTGATGTGCTTTTTGTCGATAATCTATCAAATACAGATTACGTATCGATTAACGAAGTAGCAAACTTGTGGCGTTTGAAATACCATTTCTAGTTACAGTCATTGCAATGGACAAAGGATATCTTTACATTCTTTATTATCTATTAGGTCACACTATACTTTGTTATTTTATTCAACAAAAATTCAACAAAATGTTGCTTTACGCTAATTGTATGAAATTCGAAGCAGGCGTAGAAGATTTTAAAATTAGAACGTATATTTGTCACAATTATATCCAATTGTTATATATAAATACTAGCTGTGTAAGCGACTTCGTCCGCGAGAAACGTTATTTTGGGCTTCCAAATCCGTTTTTGCTAGCCCCTTCCTCTTTATAAACATCAGCTGTAACCCACGACGTCGGACGCGTCCCTTACCGTCGCTCTTACACGTACGTCTTAAAGGTAAACATACAGCGTTGCTGACTTTATTATATCATTTGAAGAGAAATCATTATTTCATATATCTTGGGTATCTTAAGCTGTTTTTGCAGCGTGCGTCTCGGAAACCCACAGTGATGAATTATTTTCCCAATTTTTTTTCACATTTCTCGCTGTATCTTTGCTTGTATTAGTCACAGGGATGTATTTAATAGGCTACAGCATTACTCAAAAAATGCTTTAACCAACACAAAAATAATGTTTCAATTCGAACTCATAGTTCTTGGAACTAATGCGTCCAAACAAACAAACTAACTCTTCAGCTTTATATACTAGTATAGATTTAATAATTATTTGTTTTACGTAAATAAATCTTTGAAAAGAAAATTAATCTCATTATATATATTATATATTATCTATATCTCTTGATACAACGGAGAGAGATCACGTTTATGAACAGCACAATAATTCTCTTTTGATGTTACTTCGCTACACTACCCCTCAGGCGAGACTGAAGTCACACAAAATAAGCTCTTATAATGACACAGAATTAATTCCACTGTTCCACGCAGAAAAGCTTTATGGTGTTCAACAAACACACGTCTCCATATTATTTTCCAACTGTTTGTTAGGATATTGGTCTATGCAGTATTTGGTTACAATATAAGATATATTGTTTATTTTCACGCAGCCTACCTGTCAATGTTAATTGTTAATGTCAATACATACCTATATAAAATACATTTTTTCTTAACTCATTTAATTTCCATTTCCAAAGCTTTAGGGGTGGTATGGTTCAGACATATTCCTGTTTGTCTTCACAAGTCAAATTTATATTTTACTAGCTGTGCCAGCGACTTCGTCCGCGATAATCGTTCTTTTGGGCGTCCAAATTCGTTGTTGTTACCCACGACGTCGATCGGGTTTCTTTCCGTTGTTCTCGCAACTTAACCTTAAAAGATAGACATATAGCGTCTCGGACTTTTTTTTAGATCATTTAAAGAGGAATCATCCTCTGATACATATTTTTTCTGTATCTTCAACCGTTGATGCAGCGTACGCCTCGCCTTATGGGTTTCCGAGGCGTTTCTGAGGAATCATTTTCCCAATTTTTGTCACATTTCCCGCGGTATCTTCGCTCCTATTACTTGCAGGACGATGTTTTATAGCCTTCCTCGATAAATGCTCTAACTAACACAAAAATAATTTTCCATTTAGAATCTGCGGTTCCTGTGATTAGCTCGTTCAAACAAACAAACAAACTCTTCAGCTTTATATATTAGTATAGAAGATAAGTGGTTGTTAGCTGAAAAGCATAGAAATTTGATGTAACTCATAAGTTTGATGATAACTTACAAACTGCTTTCTATAATTATATACTAAGTACTATTTGTAGTTTACTCGAGGATAGCACTATTAAATAGGTAAAACACGTTGTAACGTCGGGCCGTAGTTAAAATTAACTGTAAATGAGTTTAACTAATACCTTTTGTGTTTTAAACCGTTAAAAGTAAAGTAAGTTTTTTTCATTAATTATATGTTTATATTACTATGGAAATTAGTATATGGTATTATGGACGTTTATTATAAATAAGAATTTATTCATTGATAAACGTTTCATTTTGTCATCCCCAAAAAGCTTTATAAGAGAAGAGGTTCTTGACGTTTTGCCATCACGTGCGGACGAAGACAATGATATGCTGAACGATGGCCGTGAAAGCCTTACACAATTTATTAGCTTTATAAATGTAGGTTCGTTAGTTTTTATTGTTGCTCTAAAAAAAGTAGAGGACTATTTCTTGTGAAATCTTTTGTTTTTCTTTGTAATATGCATTGCCTTATGTTTGTCGTATGCAATCTATTAGTATGTAAATAACATATATTAAAGTATCGCTAGCAGACTAATCAATAAAATGTCTATACCTACTTCGATATTATCCGATAAGTCTCGTGTTAAAAGACAGGATGTCTAGGACGGTGTATCACCGACAACCCAAAAGACGTGACGAGAACGAATGGGTACGCCAAACAGTCACGTCAATTGTTAAATCTAAAAGCAACTTGGCAATGTTTGCCGTAATTAGGTTACAATAAAGAACAGCTGCATCATAAGATGAGCGAGCAATCAATATCAGTGCCTATTCGCTTTGTACACGATCCTATTAGTGGAGGATACTTTAGGGATGTCCACTCTGATCTATACAGTCGATATGTGTGAAAGGATATTAATAAAATGCTGTCTGTAGCCTACGCAAATTGTACACATTTAAACGGTTTAAAACGCGGTGTATATTAAACTTGTTGGGAAATAATTTTAACTAATAGACGTTTCGGATGCTTTACAGCAACCGTGGTCACGGGGAGATACAAGAAATAAGTTTAACTAACATACATCGCGTTTTAAACCGTCAAAGTGTTTCATTTAAAAGGACATTGTTTGTTCTCACAGATTCATGTTGCCATTGTTTTATAGCCATGATCAATATGAAGCCCGTTTCTTTTGAAACTTTTACTGTTAAAATTATAGCAAGATGTTCATTCTTCCTTAGTCTTTCGTAATTGTATTTTATATATGGTAACTCAAACATACTATACGACATAAGTCAAATTGCTATAATCTAAAAATGTCATAAGAATTCAGGAGCGGATGGTCTGATGAATAATTATAATTAATATAAAAGGAAGAATCGCACCATTTATTAATTTTCGGAGCTATTTTACCAGCTTAAACAGTGCATAGTACACACATAAGTTAAACACATTTCAATTGCATAGATAAAAAGTAAACAAAGAGCTTTTATTGCAATTTGAGAAGCCAGTCTCAGTTTAGTTTCTACTTCTTTTGCAAACATTATCCCTTTAGGTTCTTAATAGGCACTTTGAATTGAACTCTGGATAGACATTCATTGAGTCTCAAAAGTGGTTACAAATAGTCTCTTTAAGTATAATACTTAAATTGCTTCTTAGTCATTTCTTGGTCTATTTCAATCTAATTTCTATAGCTTTTTGAGAAATTTAAAGGCACTTGCATTTATAATATTGAAATAATAGACTGTTATCTCTGAAACTCTATTTTTCTCGTGTGAAGAGAGAATACCTACTCTACTAAAAATGTTGCCTGACGAATTGAAGAGTAAATGATGAAAATCGAAAGGATATCGATAAATGATTACATCCCTACGCTTATCTCACGCGGCGGGATGGCTTAGTCTCGTTAATCTAACAATTATTCAGCGAAGATCGTTGAGCTCAGCGGGTCTAAATGCTTTGTTTTCTACTTGCTTTTTTAACTATCGAGATGGAATAAATGTGACTTTCTTCTTGGGAAATTTATCTTTGTCTTCTTAATTTTATAGGCCCTAAATCCAGGTGGACTTTTCAAATACATAAATATATCAAATTAGCTGTGTCAGCGACATCGTCAGTGTAGAATATTTATTTATTTTATTTATTACTTATTAAAAAATAATAGAATAGTTATTTTGGACATCACATTTTGTTTATGCTACCCTCGTGTAACTCTATAAATTTAATAATTTAACCCACGACAAAGTCCGCATCTATTTGTTCTTGCAAGTTAATTTTAAAAGATACTGTCATATACTGTCGCGTACATTTTTTAGGGTCATTTAAAGAGGAATCATTCTTTCGTACATATTTGTTGGGTATCTTTAACCGTACGCGCAGCATATGCAGCGGAAACCTACAAGGGTGGATAATTTAATGTAATTATTAACGAGAGAAAGTTTACAGAGATACATAATAATTACTAATATACATATCAGTGTTCTTATATTATTACATTTTCTACAAGAAAACGGAAAACACAATAGAAATTTTTACTTACATCTTGTCTATGATCTATGATTTG